AAACGTCCACAAAAAAAACTGCACACATTGCTCCAAAGTGAAATGAACGAGTCATAGTAAACAGACACACGGGGACTACAGACAGAAAGACAGTGACAGCAGCAGAAGCAGAAGCATTAAATACACTATTGCCTGACTGGGCTGAGTTATCGTTGGGAGTCCTCCCAAGGGAAGTGCTCACCGACACACACACACACACACAAATAAAGCTTTTAGGTTCCTGTGACCTTTTTCTTTTCAACAGGGAGGGTCTTTGACAAACATGAGTAAATCCATGACTTATCAGGTAAGAGCTTTGCAGTAATTCTTCAGATGATAAATAAATAAATCTTATGTAAACACCGTAGATAGTTAAGAGGAAAAAAAAAAAAAGGTAAGATACTCTTTTTATAACAACTATTACACCGTACAAGTCCAAGACAAAATGTTAATGTTAACTTAATGAAGTCAACTGCTATCAAAGTCAATAAAGATGTTTAAAACTTTTTACAACACTGCATATAAACTATGAGTCTTTAGAAGAAATCTTCAGAAAGCTGTAACCCTGTAGATTTTTCTAAGATATATATGTGTGTGTGTGTGTGTATATATATAAAAGGAAACCAAGACACATGTCTGTGTTTATTCGTCACTAAAAAGTCAAGTCAGAGCCAATCAGTCTGTACAAAACATGTCAGACTGGAAAGGTTAAAAAAGCCAGCCAAAAACTAGCTATGGCTCTGCATGTACAGACAGTTGTGCAGCCATAACAATACGGTAGAGTGATCCTGTAAGAACTCACATGTTGTTTGTAGTTTTAACTAGAGAACATAAAGCTTGCTCTAATTTGAATACATTGTAATTGTCTCCCACTTATGCATCAGGACAGTTAAGCCACAGAGCTTACAAACACAGAAACACACACAGTCGTCTAGCCATTAAAATGCATGCTGAAAAGGTTTAGCTTTGTACAGTGCATTTTTTTTTTTCTACTCACTGATCAGCTTGAAATCCGTGCGGTGAGAGGGCTTCATGGCTGCTGGCTACAGCTGACCACTCTGCCTCCCACACTGACAGCTCAGTGCTGGGACGCCTGAGCCACACTTGTCCACATTTGAGCCTCAACACACCTCTCTCTCTCCTGCTGTCGCTCTCCCCCACTCTCTCTCTCTCTCGTGTACTCACTCTCCTCCACTGTCTGCTCTATTTCTTCCTTGGACTCCAACCAACTCACACTGTGTTTCAGTCTTGCTCACCTGGCTTCTTTCCCCCTTGGTTAATCAGCATAAGAAGTCTTGTCCTGTTTTGTTTCCACATTACACATACAGTACATATTGTCTCTCGCTCATTATATTGCTTTCTCTCACTACTGCCAACCCCCCACCCCTCCACCCAACTGTATGTCTCCCACCATCCACTCTTCACAGACACCATACATAGTTCACAGCCATGCACCACAGTTAGACCAGTCTCTCTCCACAGCACAAACGAAATCTGACCTACATCGTGGGTACTATAACGCAGCGATTACCAACTGCACTGTACCACCAGGTGTTCCCTAAGTGGCCCTCTCGTTCTCACATACTTTCTCTCAATAGCAGTAGTCACACTCATAACACCTTGACCTTTTTAATTTCTCAGCTTTGTCACACTTTTTCCCCTAAAGGTATTTTCGTTTTACAATTTCCAGTCACTGACGGCTCCAGGCACACGTCACGTCTACTTATGAGTCTACTTTGTTTTTATCCAACACGTTCTCACTCTGCTCATTACAGTACATTGGACATGAACACTTTACAAAAAACATGTTTCTCTTCATACTTCCTGTAAAACTCCAAAAAAAAAGTTTATTCTGGGCCAAAGTCATAACATAAGGTTTAATATAAGACCGTCTAACAAAATTAGTCATAGGACAAAAAAAAGTATTAGTATATTTAGATATTTGACACAATAAGCAATGTTTTAAAATATATAGTATATTTAGAGGAATATATACAAATATAGGTTTCACAATGTAGGGTGCATAAAGAGAATAGGTATCTCGCCGATTCTCACATTTGAACTTCTTTTACTTATTTAAGAAGAAAAATACATTATACTGTCACAAAGGGTCTTGGTTTTTAGTGTCATTTCCTGATCCTGTCATCTCTTAGATGTATGACTTCTATCTTATTGTAATCTAGATTAAATTGATGGGTTTTGGTAATGACTTAATTGCTTTAATTGTTGAAACAGATTATAAATGACTATAGTGTTTAATTTGAACAAGCTCCAGGTGACAAGGAAACTAGAACAAGAGCTGCAACTCTTTGGTGTCTGTATACAACAGAACTGTTATCCTGAGGTTTAGGAAATAAAGTAGTAAGTTAACTATTAACTAACTATTTAACTATTTAAGACCAGAATCCCCTCAGGAAAATCATTGAGGCATTACAATAATTAAGAAAAAAGTAGCCTTATTTGCCCACAAACCTTCAATTTTACAACGCTAATTCAGAAGCTAGCTAACTGCTTTACCTCAGTTTATTTAGCAAATACAAAACCCTAAAGGCATATTTAATGGTCTCTATGCTAGCACACGTTTGCTTCAGTATCAATCAGTGGGAAAGCGGAATTTCTAGCAAAAATATAAATTCTGCTGTACTTCCTTCCAGACAGGTAGTAAGTACATCGACATTTGATCTCTATTTCAAGGATCATCATAACATCAATGTGTTTTTTTTTTTACCCTTTAACCCGTTCAATATTACAGAGGGGTTCAAGGTCACGGAAAAGGTGAAGTAAAAGTAGGGACAACAGCAAAAGTAAATTGTGTCTGGAGCACGCCATCTAGTGGGTTGAGTGCAAAGCCAAAAATGGTTGGAGCAGTAATGGGTAAAAAAAACACACCCTGAATTCCGACCTTCCATAACACTTACCTCAGTTTATTTAGCAAATACAAATAAAAAACACACACATATATATATATGACATATAAATATGGTCAACAACAGCTGTTTATAATTCTATGACTGGACTGATTTACTTGGAGGAATAACTGTTTATATGAATAATAATATGAACTTTTCAGCCATCTTTGGAGACATGTGTTGCCCACTAGTACACTTTGTCTGAAAACATTTAAATGGCATCATTTCAGACACTTTGGCTACAGGTCCTAGAAACATGCACGGCAAAGCAGATGCAGTGTCGGCACCTGTCTCCCTTTGCTGCTGGATTTGTGTGTTTGTGTGTGAGTGTGTGTGTGTGTGTGCATGAAACCCTAGTCCTGCCGAGCCTTTCAAGCTTATGTGAGCACGCGTGTCTGCCACTATTTGGTTTCCTGGCACACTTATTTAAACGGGACATGTGGTCATGTTGAAGATATTTGTACACGTAACGTTTGTTTGTTTGTTTGTTTTCTGCTGTTGTGAACTAATAGCCACAATTATTAATGAAATAGGTGTTTGAGAAATAAATGTTGACATTAAAAAAAAAAAATCAGTTTTTGTGTTTTTATATAAAATTGTGTGTGTGTGTACAGTATGTGTGTGTGTCTTGTTTTTGCTGGAGACACTCTGTCCCCTGGCCAAGTTCCAGTGGAAATTAATGTCAGGATCAGCTTACATTTAAGTCATATGTAACATCGTTGGTCATCAGAGAAGGTAGACAGACGGTTCCTAGCAACATGACTAGATGGACAAAAAAAAAAAGTCCTGAGAAACAAAAGAGTAGTTAACAAGAGAGTGAGAGAGAGAGAATACAGCAGAGTGTGATGTGACAGAATGAAGACATAATGAGAATACGTTTGTTTTCCTATGTCATTAAAGGAACCAGTTTAGCTGTTTATCTTACAGCATTATCCCGAGGGCACGGAATATATTATATAAAACAATATACATAACACAAAGCATTGTTTGCATGCCTTTGTGTATGGCCAGAATGGAGAAACTTGATTGTAAACTTCAAAGTATTGAACATTAGCACAGTGCAACAAGGCCAGAATGGAGAAACTTGATTGTAAAACATCAAAGTATTGAACATTATTTTACTAGGTCTTCTGAGATTTAGAAGACATTAAGCATCAAAAGATGAGTTTACGATTGTCAGATTTCAAGTGTGAGACAGTATTTTTGGGTTGGGTTTCCTTGGAAGAATGTGAATGGAAAGAAGAATTAGTAAGAGGGACAGTCCTCTGACATCAGAGGGAAGGAGGAAAATTATAGAGAAAAAGAAAGTCTCCTACTGTCCTACAGTTCACTGTGGGAAAAGAGCAGTAACAAAACAAAACAAAACAAAACAAAAAAAAGAGTTGATCACAGGGGGATTGTAAAAACCCCTTTTTTCTGAGAATAAAACAAACACAGTGTGTCACAATCTCTTCCTTACAGCAGCGACTGTTATGAACATTTTGTATCCAAGTAAAACGCTCTCTGCCTTTAAAATCATGGAGACAATGTATGACCTGTGTAACTACAGGGGGTCCTCGACCTACATCATCTACTGTACATCAGTACCTACGTCACTCACCTACACTAACACAGTGGTAACCTCATAATCTAGGACATAAAAACATCAGAAGAGTCTGACTCACACCTGGGAGCCATAATGAAGGACAAAGTGTTTAAAAAAAAAACAACACAAGGGAAAGACAGCGAATGTAGCACAATCACCAACATGGTGTCCGGGGGCACCTGGTAGCCCCCATGGTGCACCTAAGGTGCCAACGGGGTGTGTTCTAAAAAAAAACTAGTCAACAAGAGGGTCAAAGATGGAACTGTTACTGTGCTTTTGAATCAGTTACACTTGAATGATGATTGAACTTTTTAATGTTACATTGTTCAGGAAGTCTGTATCAAACAAGTAGCTCTTTGTATTACTGAGTGCTCTTGGAGTAGCTCTCAGTTTCAGAAAGGTCGGTGACCCCTGATCCAATGTATGCCATTTAATGAATGATGGCGATGTTACCACAAAATGCCGTATTAGTGTTCAATTCTTCTCCTTGACATTGGAATACACAAATAAACAAAACCTTGGCTCACCTTTTAGAACTCCCTGGCTGTTGGAAAGCGGAGAAACAGGGTAGGGAAGAATGAAGCGGGCACTAAGGGCAGCTGTGGCCTCTAGCAGGGCCCCAGTCAACAGGGAACAAACCGAAGTCCTTTGGCCACAAGATCGATAAGCTCTCAGAGTGGGAAAAAAAAAAAAAAAAAAAAAATCAAAAAATGTGCATTAAAGTTTGCTCATACTTATAGGGAGGCCTACAAACAAGTGCATCTACTATCATAGTAATGAGGTCAACAAGACATTAAGGCACATCAAACACTCATCCATCAATCCATCCATTTTCATCCGCTTATCCGTTACCGGGTCGCGGGGGCAGCAGTCGACACCCAAATCACACTGCACCGTAAACCTTCCTGCTGGAAGGTACCAACCGCCCTAACCGGGATTCGAACTTGCCCAGGAGGTGAACCCTGGGGTTCCACACCAATGACAGAGACATTACCTCTGGGCCAAAGCGCCACCACATCAAACATTAAAATTTAGATTCATTTTACATAATCTTTGGGGGAAATGTTTTTTAAACTTTTGTTTTATTCAGAGGTTTTTAAAGGCCTGTTGCAGTGCTTCTACCTCTTAAACTGAAAAATGCGGTTTTGACATCTTTTCTTTTCTTTTCCCACATGGGATGGGATACCAACTACTGTTGGAGTAGCAACTCTAAAAACAAGATAAAGTGTAAAAGCCCTGGCAGGTTATTAAGATGCTCACCCTGCTGCTATTATCAGCTTGGTGAGAAATAATGCATCAGATGATTGCAATCAAAATGATCAAATATTAAAGACAAACTGGCTCCGCTATCCTTTTAGGCTAATAGTTTAGGTTGCACTTTAGATGTCACTAGATTTAGATTTGGCTGAGTGCTTCCTGTTGAGTTACTAACCTGAAATCACATTGACTATGTGATTCAACATGATTTTCAAACTTTTGTGAAAGTGAATGGTTTTAAATTCATACCTTGTTGTACAGAGGCTGGAGTTCTGATGGCGTGTTGCCGGGCTGATGTTGTGGAGCGACCAATGAGGAGAGCTGATGTGAACACATCCACATAGAGGCAGCAAGAGTTTTTTGGCGGGATGAATCAAATTGACTTTCTCTCCGTCCTGTACGCAGACGGCAACCTATAGGAAAGGTCATTGACAAATTAGACAACGTAAAGCCATCTGATCACGACCGCGATACGAATTAACTCAGTCATTTTATTCAATTTTACTTTTTCATTCAGCTGTTGAAATACATGAAAAAATTGAGACATGGAAGAACTTTTTATTAACAGAACAAAAACATTTCTTATGGGAACGTCAACAGAGGTGAAAAGGAGAGAGATAATAGAGAGATCGACCGCTGTGGAACCAAGAATGGGTCGCAGACAGTGATAAGTAGACAATGACACAGAGGGAGAAACAGAAGCAGCAGGAGAGCTCTAAGTATATTTATTTGAGTGAACAGGGTGACCTGAAACAACATCCTTCATCATTTTTCTTCTTTTGATTTGAAAGAAAACACCCAGTCTCTGTCCTCTAGTGACCTCACAGGGCAGCTCCTCAGACACAACTTTCAGGTGAAAACCATTTAGGCAGCACTTTTTGTGGCAATCTGAAGCTGGCCAGTAATGCCTTTAGTGGATACGGCCATTAAGGTATCAGACAAAATCGATAGTGGCGACAGAGGAGGCCATGAATAAAATACCAGTTTTATGATAGTAGAGATGGGTTTCCAGGAAACATACAGGTGATGGAGAACACACAGCGACTCACAATGACAACTGTTATGTAAACCCGATCATTTATCGAGAAAAATGATTCCCGAGTTGACCAAGAGGTATCTGATAGATTAGGCCAAAATAGTCTATGGGATATCACTATACAAATAATGACCAGTAGATGGCATCTGTCAAATATGAGTATTAGGTTATAACTAATAATTTGATTTAAAGTGATCAAAAGGACAGACATAACCCATTGTTAAAGGTTCTCTTGAAATGAGCCAAATGCAAAATGCAACATCTTCAGCAAAAACCAAAGAATGATTGATAATCTAATTTTTCATACATCTTTTTATTATTTGTTAAAACAAGGCAACATTTTGGTCCAGTTTACACATGGCAAAGGGCTTCTCTCAGAGGGATGGATTTCCTGGACGGGGTGGGGTTGAGCAGTTGTCAGATTAAAAACCTTCTCCAGGGAGAAGGGGGACATACCAATCTTCAAGTTTAAAGATGATGAGAGGGACACGTTCAAAGACAGCACACCCCCATCTTGGTCCACAAGTTCTTAACATTGTTGAGTTAATCACAGGAATTTAGCATCTCAGCCCCAAAATATGTTCGTGTCATCCCTGATAAAATACCACATCAGATTTAACCGCACAGAAACAGGGATGGAAATCAAAACTATGCAGTACGTTAAGGTACAGCTCAATATATATTTTCATCAATAAAAAGATAATGTAGTGTACCACAGTTGTTTTGATCGTTACTAAGCATAATATCGACTCATGACGAGCCTCTACACCAAAAATGTTTTTCAAGCACTTACACCAATACGCCAGTAACAACATGTAATTTCCTAGTCGTTCAGTCCATGCGGCCAATTATCAGAACTCCATGTGAGTCAGCTGCAAGCAACACGGGCCTGTTTCTCATGTTACACTGCATCAACACTGGCCTGTTTCGGTTTTCAGCCTTGGTTTCCTCATTTCCGGTTTTGGCAACTCTAATATACAGTATACAAAAACAAGCTTATTAAAAAAAAATCCAGTTAAATGTTTGGGTTTTAAAAACATAAAAGAATTGGTGATCCAATGTCAATACTGGAGCTGTAGCACTGACTATCAGTAATGTAATGAAAGCTACAGTTATGAATGGGTTTGTTCTTGAGGCCCGTTATCACTCGTTGGGTAATTACTCTGCCTGGCAACAGCCATTCTGGGAAAGGATTAGCAAAGTGCCGTTGTAGGGTACCGAACAGATCTAATGAACTTCAAGCTTCGAGCTGCTAAGACACTAAAGCGCGGCCATACAATCGTACTCTGACTCATGACCATTACTGTTACGTACGTAACAGCAGACCGCTTGGAGTATGTGTGGCAGTGCAAAACTCTCAAACCCTCCGCCTGAAATCTAACCACCCCCAGTTTGACCTCTTCACTTTGAAGACTGACCTCCGTTACACTTGCATACTCACACTATGACAACATCTCCAAACACATACTCTCTACACCACACATACAGTAACCATATCCATCAACCTGGAGAAGGGGCAACATAACGACCATCATCAAAACCTGCAGCAGACTTTAATGTAAAATAAGTATTCCATAACCTACAGTGGGTACGGAAAGCATTCAGACCACCTTAAATTTTTCACTCCCCAAAATTTTAAGGGGGTCTGAATACTTTCCGTACCCACTGTATATGCATGCTTGAATGCACATTGCTATGAGCGGCAACGACTACAATCTTCAGACTCTACTACCACTATAACATTTAGTACCTAAATTAATCATTTAGTTTAAAACATAATTCTGAAAACGTTACAGTAGGTCAAGGTCAGCTGAGGTCAATAGTGGGTGGTTAATCTCGTGAGAACACTGTTATTCTGGTCTAGACTTGAAACAGAGGTCAGCAGACATGACGTCAGTTTTACCCCCTCTTTGAAGAAGCAGTATTGGTCTAAAAATTGTGTGCTAACAGTATGACCAGTCATACTTATTCTAAAAATTGTGTGCTAACAGTATGACTTTACCAGTCATACTTATTACGCATTACAAGTTAATCTCCTGTGAAGTACCTTTATTATTTGGTTTATAAAATATGCAAAAAAGATAAACATAACAAAAATAGAGAGAAGGGAATATTGAAGTATCTAAAAAAAAAAAAACACAAATAGGTTTAATATATCATATCATCAATTGTTCAAATAAAAAGGGTGCAAAAATTATTTTTCCTTACTGCTAGCATATTTATAAAAAACCTACTACTAATTTCCTACGTTACATAAATCTTCTACCCAAACACTACATACCACGCAAAGAAATGTTGGTCTAAGATATCTTGTACACATTAAATTCCCAGGACTTTCCTTCATTAAATGCATTGGAAAAAAAGAAGATGAAATGCTCTCAGGAAATGAAGAAAATATGCGGCCTGCCCACCCAGCTTGACCAGCACATGTAAATCAACTGCGGCCAGTCTATTTGAAAACTTGTTGAGGAGCCAGGTATGTTCAGCAGCTCTGGTATCTCCACAGCCGGGATGTAGACTCTGGCCCTTTTCCCATCACAGACACACGTAAACTACATCAAAAGACAGAAACTAAGCACACCCAAACATACCAAACGACCAGACGTCCCCGCTGAGGGGCTGCACATGAAAACAAGCTGCCTCAGATTTGTTGCTTGCTCTGCAGTCAGTGGTTTCTATTTCTTCGTCTCTGTGTACTACACATCAGACATCACACTACTCCCTGGTTTGTATCAAAGAGAAACAGACACCGTCTCTGACCTTCATCTACTGCTGTGACCTTTTTTTTTCTTCTTTTTTTTACTACTTGCGTCTTTGCATTGTACTATCTGCTTTCTGCATCTATTGTCTGCGCTGACTTCAGGAGGAAAGGCTGAGGACTGTGCTCACAAGGTCATAAGGTCGTATTGTATACTGCAGTTTATGTGCAGGAAGTGGAATGAGAATATATATATATATATATATATATATATATATATATATATATATATATAAGAGGAATGTTTGCCATACGTAAAATCCCTAAATGTTGTCTTGAGCTATGAATGAAATATTGATAAACCTTGGATAAAAAGTACAAAAGTACACATTTGAAGCATAAAAGTTGAACTAAATCACAATATTTAAGTACATTGATGACCTAAATGTAGGTTTTCAGGTCAATTTAGACATTAATTAGCCAACATACTAAGCCAATTTGTTTTGTTTTTTTAAACCTTGTGATCGGAACATCTGCCTGCTGTTAAACTGTTACGATTCCTTACATATAACACTACTGCTCTACAGCAGTGGTTCTCCAACTTTTTCTACTCTGTACCACCTGAGAAAACATTGAGTCCCACCATGATGACCAACATTAGAATATAACAGCACAGGCCTTCCCTATTAGCTTCCACCACAGGAGAGATGTTTAGAAAGATGTTGATGTTTAAATGTTGTATTCATTGTGCATGGTATGTTTCAGATTTATTCAACTGAAAATGTAAATGTGAAAATGTGAATTTTCCCCGCATACCACTAGAGAGTGCTCGCGTACCACTGGTGGAACGCGTACCTCTGTTTGAGAACTCACTGTTCTTGAGTATAGAGATTTGAGAGGACACCAAGACAATGAAAGATGAAGAGAGAGAGAGGTAGGGTCACAGCCAGGGCCACAACAACCTAGAACACATTACCCACAGTGTCCACAGAGACACATCCACTCTACCAGGGTCCCTCATTTACAGTTCTCATGATGTCATAGTAAAGCATGCACACAACAGCACACAACACAGAGCAGTCTATTACAGATAAGCCCGAGGCCCGGTGTTTTCTTTTCACATTTTAAAGCTAAGCACCAACTTTTACACTCTACACACAGAGCTCTGTGGAAAAACTGAAACAGTCACTTTCTCGGTGAAATATCGTTCATCAGTGCAAATGGCTACATTACTGTACACCAGCTGCTTCGTTTCGACAGGAGTCACCAACAGACTTAATTTGTGTCTCCAAAGGCTTAAATTTAGGGGAAGAAAATTGACCTTGGAAATAAATTTTTGAAAGGAATACAGGTGCAATGTCAGGCATTCTTTAAAACCTTAGCAACACACTAGGGAAACAAACATATTGAAGATGAGACACTAGGAAACAGTTATCTGAGTCACAAACCGGCTTTTGAAAACAAAAGCAATTTAACAAAATACAAGTCATAACAGCACAGAGAAACAATAAATGAAAAGTTGCCTGAGGAATAAATTTGCCTAAAGGAGCAACAACACTAGCTGTCAACAAAACAAACAGTTTACTTACCGTGTGGGAAAAAAAGATGTATAAAATGCAGGACAAAAAGAATTTAAAAAAAAATGACCGAGACCTAATCCCTTTTTAGTCTGTGCATTTTTACAGAACGAGAGGAGGATTGAGGACAGACGGGAGGAGGGGGGTCTCGCAGGAAGAGTGGGAGTGTAAGGGAGTGGGAGGGGGTCTTCGCTACATCAGTTAAGTCAGCAGCAAAAGGAGTAGGAGGTCAGGAATGAAGAGAGAAAGATGGAAGAGAAAGATACAGAAGTGAGAGCCAGAAGATGGCAGTGGGGATAAAGAAGAGAAGTTCAACATCTTCAACACTGAGCAGCCCCATATTAGGTGAGGAGGCAACGCAGCAGCAGGAAAATCAGATATTATCACAGAGCACACTCTGAACCGCCAAGGTTTGAATGAATCATCCACTGGATTCTGATCAGCTAAAGTCACTGCTGTTGAGTGCATCTTTAGTAGGGACCACTGAAGAACAAGTGGACTTCAAAAACACAGTAGTTACAGTAGTATCCAGTTAATGTTAGGATTGCAATATCATTTAATTGTATTGAAATGTATTTATTTCAATGAAATATCACAGTGGAATCACTGGATTTATTAGTAATTTTTACCAAAATCAAACCTGAGAGCGGAGACAGCGCTCATCTGTATTAAATATTTAACACCGTTTCTACTCCTTTGACTTTATAGAACGAATGTCAATATAAATATAATATAGTTGGACAAGATGTATATTAGCACATGAGCTTATAATGTATCGATTGCACTTTTATCTCTTAGGATCTTAGCTAAGCTTTTTTCTTTCTGGCCTGTCTGTGTACTCTATCCTCTCTGATGTACGTAAGGTGTATTTTTTAGCTAAGCTTTTTTCTTTCTGGCCTGCCTGTGTACTCAATCCTCTCTCAGTACTCTCTGATGTACGTACGGTGTATTTCAAAAATAGGAAAATACCACTTTTATTAAAAGTATTTTAAGGTTACTGCGGTACAGATCATGTTGGTGATTTGCAAAAAGAGTTTCCACTTCGACCACACTGCAAAGTGCATGCTAAAATATGCCCCACACAGGATGTTGGCTTCCTTCAAGCAAGGTCAATACATTATTACAGACTTACATATGGCACGGTTTCAGGGAAAACTCAGAGCCATTTTTGATCAGCTAATTTTTAGGAGTCATTCGGTGCAAAAAGCTCTGTCAACAGGAGTCGGGTGTATCTGAAGGAGTCCAGATAGGTCATGTAAAACATGTGCAATATTAGCAGATCTGTTTACCATATAACTGTGAGGTGTCAGGTAGAAAAAGGGGCCTAAACAATAAGCATACTGCAATTTTATCAGAAAGGGAAAATGGTGACACACATCTGCCCCCTAGTGCCAACTGTCTCAAGATTTTCGAAACAATTTAAAATGAAGCAACTGACACCAGTCTGTCCAACTAACCAAAACTGTACACTGACATAGCATTACAACTAGTACATCGAAGAGGTTTATTTCAGGAAATGTGCTGCCCTCTTCAGGAGAAACAATATAAATCACGGGAAGCAAAATAATAACTTAGAACAACTACAGGCAAGGCTTTAAAACTAGGAGTCATTCAATGGGACCACAGATGGTATACTACTGGAGGATGATACCACTGTCAAAAACTAATCAAAACAAAAAAGAAACTGAGGTCAATTTTTGTTCTAGAATCGAATAAATCGAATTAAGTACATTTTAGCATAAAAATAAGGTCAAATATTTACATTTCCTGCACTAAAATATATTTTTCCTAATTGTTGTAAAAAAAGTATAAAAAAATTAAAATGCCACGTTTTAACACTTTCAGCCATTATTATTGTCTTCAGTTGATTTACTTATCTTGCAACATGCTAAATGTAATGTGTGAGATTTTATCATCGTTTAAACTCAGTCGCCATCTTAAATTACTATTATGTTTTGACAATAACTGTGTTTAGTGTTTTAGTAGAACAAAACGTCGCACAGTGGGAATAGAATGTATTTCACAGCGTATATAAGTTCAATTAAGTCAAGTTTTAATTGCGTATCAACAACTATATTCCTGAGAAGTTTTCAAAAGGCGTACATTTGTGAAGCACGTAAATGGTGAGAGTTCCAGGTCAATCAGGAAAACCTTTTTCTGCTTCAATAAATATATTTGTTACCACTAGATGGGGCCATTTAACCACGTTCTACATGCCTGCACGTATCCACATTTAAATGAGTGATTATTGGGCGATTATGCCTAGATTCAATTAACTAAGTATCTTAAATGAACGTTTATGAATCGAAAAGAAACCCGAATTTGCGATCGATGATGCAGGGGAAAAAGCTTTGGTGGCTATTTTTGGCTAAATCCGATCTGCTTGATCCAAGTTTGAAAGGGTGATGATGAACAGGTTTAAAAAAGTATAACGTAAGGTAACGTTGCTTAACCAGCCTAATGGGAACATCTTTCATAAATACTGATATGAATACTCTTTTTATCAGTCCAAAAGGGGTGCTTACTGTATCCAGTACTGCAGAAACAATGACACATGTAACAGCTGTGAACTGTTGTGGGGAGACTTGTGAAACACAACAACAACAACCGGGGGAGGTTCACAGAATAAGTTGGAGTCAGTCCCAATGACAGGAAGATAGTGTGTGGGTGGCTCTTTGTAGTCATTCACAGACCCAGAGACATTTTTAATCAGTGATTAATGTTTGTTGAAATGTGGCTTTTCTGCAAAGTGGCCAAATAGAAAGACAGCCAGACAGAGTCAAAGCGTTGAAAAAAAATATATTGAAACTTCATGCTGCACATGAACCATGTCTGTCTGTGATTATGGGAATTTAGGAAAGTGCATTCAAGCCAACTGTTTTTTATTAACCATATCCGCGAAAAGGGCTTTAATTCCCAGAACTTCTAATCTATTCTATTATTGATTTTTGGACGTTCAAAATTCATGTTTAACCTTGTGACTTTAGCAGTTAGCAAGTTTTGGATCATAAATTCAGCTTTAGCAGTTAGCAAGTTTTGGATCATGTTCTAGGTTACCTACCTTTGCTTAATTCAATCAGACGTTCGTTTGTTGTAAAGTTGTGTGATTTTATCTGTATTTTATCTGACCTGAAAAAAGTGTCTAAATAAAATGTTTGGGAACCAATGTCAAAAATAGACAAGAATGTTGTATTTATCCCTACTGTATTCACCCTTCAGGGTCAGAATTATCCAGTGTTAGTGTGTTTGAGTGCTAGCTGTTGACCCATAGCCCGACAACCTCTGCACAGACTTTACTAGTTTCTTGAAAAAAAAAACATTCTCACAGGGATGCGAGGGGCCTGCAGCAAAAAGACACTCACATGCAGTTTTGACACCTCGCTGTCGCCCTGCCAATAGCCAATAGATGGAATCTGTTTGCGCTGCGGCCCATGTGTGCCGCTGTGCCACATAATTACTGTAGGTAAAGGTAAAAAAAAAAGTCAGGTTCTATGCTAGCGCTGTGACAACGTACTTTATTTTTTCTGTCTGTTTAGACAGAGCACTCTCTGACTGGCAGCCCATCAAACAAACACACACCCACAGACATGCTCACTAATCGCTGCCTGACCAACAACACAGAGCTTATTAACACTGTGGTCCTGCAGTACATGCCTCTGTAGCACCAAAACACACACACACACAGTCCAAACTGTGGTAAGCAACTGTGTCTGACACAACCTCCATTATTAATTACTATTTAGGTAATGATTTTTAAGTGGTAGACTCCTTAAAAATTTTGAATTTATTTTGGCTCTCATCCATCTTCTAGCTTAATCCTTTTCAGGATCCCATCGCAGTTGGAGCCAATCCCACTAATCGGGCAAGGACGGGATACACCCCACATACTGTAAACAGATGGAGAACTATTTACTAGGGATGACTGGATACAACTTTTTCACTGCCACTTGCAATATCTGCCAATACCAATATCAATCTGATACCGTTTCAGAGGTGTTAAACATACGGCCCGTGGGCCAAAACCAGGCTGCTAGGGTGTTTAATCCGGCCCAAATTTCTGAATTCTGAAAAAAATAAAACAATATATAAACACTTAGTAAGAATAGTAAAATATAATATACTTGTACTTGCACGAAAACAAAGGGCAAAAAACATGGACTTATTGTTATTTAAAGTTAATTAGGTTATGACTGTACTGGTCGGGCCCACCTGACTTAATTAGGTTGTATGCAGCTTGTGAAACAAATGAGTTTGACACCCCTGCCTTCTTTTCTCCTCCATCATGCAGCCAGTTAGATAGATAGATAGATAGAACAATAACACGAGGTTACCATTAACCAGTTTGAGCTGATTCCCAAGCATGTTTATAAAACACTGGTTATCAGGTGATCTGGCAGCACCATCTCCCATCGACTGTGTCACTGAGAGTGACAAACATGTCTGATGTAATCAGCAGGTATTAAAGAATGCAGAGTTGCTCAAACAAACTACACCCACACTGGCTGGCACATTTTGTTACTATAGCATCATCCCGTTTTCATTTGCTCAATGTTGCAGGACAGCTGGTGAAATGGTGCAGTGGTTTGGTGTCGGCGCCGTCTGGTTGGATGTTCAGAGACGATCTTAGAAAATTGATTCACATATAGAACGCAACTCATTCAACATTTTAATTAAATTGCAGACTATCCTTCCAGGTGCAAACAGAGCCTGTTTACTGAAACAGTTACCTGGATGGAACATCAGTCCATCCTCCGCTTGTAAACTCCAGAGAGTAGTGTGTTACCTAAACAGACATAAGCCCCAGTTTGGGAAATCCAATATATGAATATTTGCAAGAGTTATTACCTGGGCTAACAAAAAACTGCACTTTGGCTCAGGTCTTTTACAGGCCTGGATATTTGACTAGCAAAGTGATAAATGGAAATTTAAATGGAGGAGAACAAACACAAATGAGTTTTACAGGTTTCCGACTTCAGAGGCTACACTGTTTGGGACGTCTTGGTTAATATTTGACAACCAAATAAAGCCTTTATCTCTGAGCGCCATAAAATACTGCAAGAAAGGATTGAAATTATTTCCCAGGGAACAACAACAAATGCGCTATGCTTGGTTTGGAACTAAATGGAAAAACATCCCGGTCTGTAAATCTATGAATGACAACATTTGGGGTATTTTAAGTATGTTAAGTACAGAAAGAACAACTTTTACAGCTGCTGGTGAGTTTTGATATGACATCACTGCAGCTGGGTTATAATCTAAAGCAAAAAAAATACTATAAAAAGTACAATAAATAAATACATTACAATACATTTGATTCACATAGTATTGTGTGTCTATGTGCGTGTGTGTGGGGGGGTGCTTATTATTGGAACAACCTGAATGTTTTCACTACAGACAGAAATACTGTCCTGTCATGATGTTTCCATAAAAACAGCATCATGTCTAAGGCACAAACACACTTCATAAGGGGGTGGGGGTTAAAAACCTGGGTGTTGATGGTGATCATTTTTCATTTTATTTTTGTCTACAGTATAAATAGCTCTATGAGAAAAAACTCAAACAGCCAATTAACTAATGCAAAGAAGAAGCCTGTATAAAATTGAGAGAAGAAAGTAAATATTCTTTG